CAACTATTTCTATTACTATCAATCATTGATCGAAGATACTTCTTATGATTGTCTTTGCAATGGCATGTAGTTGTTCAATTGTTCTTTTCTTGGTATTAGGATGTTATATCTGTTTTCGGGGTTTTAGTTTAACCCGTTGGTGATCGTATATTTAATGCACCCTAATCTATCTGGTTCTGTAGCTTAGCTTGTAGTATTCGTCACCACAGAATTAAATGATTCTTTGAGGCTGGCTGGTCTTGTATTTGTTGTCTGATGATGTCATGTGCCCCTGAGGATAGTAAATTTCTTATGTATTTGTGCTGTTCAACTTGTTTTGTTGGCTGGTCTTGTATTTGTTGTCTGATGTCATGTGCCCTGAGGATAGTAAATTTCTTAGGTATTTGTGCTGTTCAACTAAATTAAGTTATTACTAGCTCTACTCTTTCGATTTGATTGAGCCTATATAATAGGCATGTAAATAATTTTAATTTTCTTACTACTCTTTTGATTGAGGCCTGAGGAAGAGTATATATAGTGGAAGATCAGTTTGTTCTATGTATGCTAAATTACTTTCTCACTCGATCATAATCTTCTAATTCTATCTCACTCAACTATTACTATTCCTACAGTGTGTACTGTACGCAAATATTTATATGTCAATTTTGCTTATTCCTTCCATGCATATCAATCATGAAATATGTTCAACTCAAATTTCAATATTATTATATCTAAATGCACTAGAGAGGATTTTTTTTCCATGAAATGGGCCAAGTATTCTACACTTGCATTCTTTTATAGTTGGGATTTTAAGTACCACTTCAGACTCCATTGCTTTATTTTTTTCTTCTTCTTTCTAGAGATTGATAAGTTTTACCAAGAATAATCCCAAGATTAAGATCTTGGAACTTTATTTTTTCTCTTAGTGGTGGCACTACAACATATACATTTCACTATCAAATACGAGAGAAAGTGCAATTTTTTTCCCAAGCCTATTGGCAGTTCTATATGCGTTAGCCCACGTAAGAACTTGTTGTGTGTACTCTCATTTACATCCATAATCCATGCTATATATATATGTACCTTGGAATATCCACAGTTGGCAGTTGGTTCTTTTCCTGCAGGCCAGACGACAGAAGGTTGGTGAAAAGTCGCTTCTCTCACACAATTATTCAGGTGCATCTATTGGTTGATCAGGCATTTGGAATTCTTTTTTCTTTTTCGTGTGTTCAAGACACTTTGATGTACTGTCACCATTATTTCACCGTTATTTCAGGAGAAGAGGTTTATGATTTTTACGTCTTCAAATTAATTCGAAGTTTCTTCTGCAGTTGCGGCATTGCCTTTATCTTTATTTTTATGCTTTTGGTTTTCCGTATTCTATAATTATTTTTGTCTTATAACTATTTTACCATTTGGTTTTATTTTATTCTGCAATGCAATAAATTAAATATTTTGATTCTAAGGGTTTGTTTCTCCCGTCAGTGATTGACGAGATGTCGGCAGTGGTCGGATTCTTCAACCAAAGGGACCAGACATTACTCAAGCTTTCACCTTATGTCCGTGGGTAACCCTTTCTGGTTATTTGAATACGTGTATTATTAGTGAGTTTCGTTAAGTTTATCAATAATTTTGAGCTTGTTTATTTCGTCCACTGGTAATGTGAGCTCACACTCTTAAGAGGCTTTCCAGATTTTTGCACGCCTCGAACGAGAGGACTTAGTGCGAGTTCAGGGGGTGGCGGCAGCGTTGAGGCCTTAATTGGATATGCAGAAGTTGGTGGTTGTGACTATCATGGCGTTGCCTAGAATGCACCACTGGGTGTCCTCAAGGCAAATTGAAGGAGCGATATCCATAAAGTTGTGACCTAACTCCAGAAAATCACGTTTTCATTTTATTTATTTCCCATTATTATTGAAGTGAATAAGATTCACCCGGGCTCCTTCAACTCGAACCGGCCTCCGTACCTGCAGAACCCAACGCCGGGTGGCCCCGGCGTCGGGCCTCCGATGCCTAAGTCAGTGCTCGGATCAAGAGAGAGATAAAGTGTAGTAATGTAATGAAGAGAATGAGAATGGAATACCTCAACCCCCCTTTTATAGGGGAAGTGTACCTTTTTGGGCCCAAGTTGGGCTTGGCCCATATCGCGGTGCTATATGTCTTTTGTCCGCACGTGGGCTTATCTTTCAATATGTATTCGTTCTATCCATTAAACCAGGTCCAGTATAATATCCTATATCAATTATATACATTCATTTCTAACAGGGAAAACTAAAGGACAAACAAGCTCCGAGAATTATAGCAGCCTAAATCAAGTGTTTGGTGTTCAAGGCTGCTATCATTTAACCAATTTCCATGTCTTTCTATCTCTATCTCATTTATAATTGCACATTAGCGTGCATGGAATGTTTGTGATGAAATGCGTCATTGTGTTTTTTGATGATCAGGTTATTTGTATCGGGCCTCGATAAATCTCTCCACTAGAAAACTTGAAACCAAGGACGTTGGTATATTTGCTTTAAAATTGGATTCATAGTTTCATAATTTTTTTTCTGAATTTCCTGACTCCAAATTGATTGTATGTGGTCGTTGAACATACAATGATATTGTTTATTCTCTCAACTTTGTGCTGCAGTTTAAGGAGATTCCCTCTGCTGTTTGAATTGGAGTTACGACCCCGAAAAAGATTTATCATGTTTGCAGCCACTGTCAGCTATATACCTAGGAAACCGAAGCCAATGATAAAACATGGTCCTCTGACCACTGCCGACACCTGGAAACATGTTAAGGTATCTGTTTTCTTGAACTCGTTGGTATCTTAACGCATTACAAATCTTACCTATGTAGATAGGTTAAATACTACAAGTGCTTTTGAGGGGATTAGATTTGAGTTGTATAAAAATGTGGGGCAGCTTTTTATGAGGTTTGGTTTAGTTGTCCATCTTAAGTTGTTGGCTTTTGGTAATAACCTCCGAGATATATTGTTACCTGCTTCGGAACTTAACTTAAATGGTGCTACAGAACTTGAAATTGAATTTTCTTTTGGTTCAAGAGAGTAAAATCAAATCAAAGGAAACAAATCAAATCTAAGGAAACTGATCCAGATACATACATAAGCTACTAAATTGAAAGACAAGTAAAATGATCATAAACTTAGAGGGAATACTATATGGGTATTCTCCAAAGCCATTGGTCATGAAGTTGAAAAGGTTCATATAGTTGTAGTTTATATTCCTATAGCTCAAAAGTTTTTTTCACTTATGCTTAATGGTTGCATTTAGTTTAGGTTCTGCAAAAACATTCGTAAAACATACATTTGTCGATTGGTGGCGAGTTTTGCATGGTTTGTATTTTGATGTGTGTTGTGGTTGGCCCAGTTCACTCCAAGTTTTGTCTTCATATTTATGTTGTCGTTAAGTTATTTGGTTAGAATCTTACTTTCTTCTGCTGCTATTTTTTGTTTTGTTTTCTCGAGAGCTCGTTCAACCTCGCAATTGCTCAAAAATCTGGTTTTTGCAGGTACTGATTGGATATATGTCGTTAATTATGTTATATTTATTCATATGGTTTTCTTAGGAAGGATTCAACAATATGTATCTGACTTAGAGCGCAACCTGAAGATGATGGACGGGTGTACACATCCAAGGCTTTTCGTGTGCAGAAATGTTGGTGGAGATTGAATCTTCGAGGTGAAATTTTGGTGACATGATTACTTGAAGGAACAGAAATTAAAAGGATTTAAGATGTATTCATTTTATATTTTGATTCACATGTAAATCTATGGCTTTTTCAAGATTTTTGTCATTTCAGATAAACTATATAATAATATAAACAAAGTGTTAAGTAATATATATGTATATAGTATAAATAGTAGTATAAATATATATATATATATATATATATTCCATTACGATAGGACTACTCATAACAAATCAAATCAATACACATATTTATGTGGACTATTTCGAATACTTAGAAATAACATATAGAATTGCAAATTGTTGGAAATTGACAATCAATACACATATTTATATGGAATAGTATTTTGAAACCATAGAAATAAGGTATAGAATTGCAAATTGTTGGAAATTGACAATCAATACACATATTTATATGGACTATCCCGCATACCACATTGTTCCTGATTTTCATATTTTAATCGTTAAATATCATTTGACAAACTTTTCAACACGATGTGTCGGACCATGACGTACCCGTTTGCTCAAGAGGTTCCATTCTAAAACCAATTGGTGGAAAGAGGAGTAACCCATTAGACTTATAAATTAAGTCTATTTTCTCTATAGAAACGATGTGAGACAACTCACAAGTGAATATTCTGATATGTCCCCTCACTTGTGAGTCCTTAATAAGAAAGTTCAAGCCCAAATACGGAATCAGGTGCCCAAGCCCTACTAGAAACAGGCTTGGGACCAAGTTGGAGCTACTATATCACTACACATTCCTCGTTACTTCACAAATATCTACAGCATTTTCCTTTTTCACCATCTCTAATCACTCAAACAACCACATGTAAGGACAAACACTCAAGTATCCAAGATAAGTAAACTGTAAAGAAACTAAGACAAGTAAAACAGTTCTAGCTAGAAGTTACTTCTACTTTGTTCTTTCTGTGTCTCTGTGTGTCTCTATCTTTCTCTCTTTCTTATTGCAAAACTTTGCTTGCTTGTTAGAGTCTGCTAATCTTTCGCATCATTAACCTGCCAAAGATGCCAACAAAAAGTTTCATTTAATATTGTCCTATGTCAAAACTAAAAAGGTACGGTCGTACCGATTAATCGAAACCATTCGAGCTACATCGTCATGGTTATACAGCTACCCCATGCTATAGTGAAATCGAAAAATGTGTCCTGTTTCATATAAATGTAGGAAGTGGAACAAAATATGCATATTTGAGAGTACTGAGTCCAGATTTCAAGTAAAGTAAATTTAGCTTCAAATAATCTTTTGCATATTACGGTAAAAGATTACATATGAATTGAAATGAAATACTTACCACAATGCTAATTATCAGGTTCCTTACTAGTACTCGGCTTGTGCGCATCAGCCTGTGGCACGACTTGATTCTGCAAAATAGATTTGCCAATTCAATTACTGAAATAAAACTAAATGATATCAAATAATTCGAACTTGCCTTCTGTACCTGTGGCTGTTGTATCCTCAGAAACTGTTGATACAAATCGGCATAACTCGGCATTGGTAGCTGATTTGGAAAATGAGGAAAGTTGGCCGCTCGGTTACAAGTCTGAGCTCGGGAAGGATCAGGCAGTGGCATGAGAAATCAAGGCTCCATATTTGTTGGAATTGGCATCGATGGATATGGTACCATTGGGGGAACAAAACCTTGTGTGCCATGGTACAACATCATGGTCAACATCTGTAGAAGTAAAATTACAAATATAATATAAAAAACAAATACAGATAATACATAAGATTAATATTGGGACAAGAAAAGATGAGACGAACCTACCTGCACTTGCATCATGAGAGATTTCATAAATTCGATAGTCTCATCCAACACCGAAGCTTTGTCCAACTGTAACGTGGGAAGAAAAAGATCAAAATTTGTTCTAAAAGGATGTATGAAGCATATAATTAATATCTTTTTTTTTGCAGACCTTAGTACGACGAGGAAGAAGTTCTTGAAGTGTCCTCATTTTCTCATTTATCCTGTCTCGGCGCCTCTGCATGAGTTGCAACAAGTTCAAGTAATCGAGCAATAATCGATTAATATCGAAAAACAAAAGTAAAAAGATGATGTTCAATTTTTTTAGATTGTGGGCAAATACAAACCCTTTCCGAGAGGTTGTGGACTTCTGCAGCACGAGATCTCTTACTTGATGCCGAGCCACTGGCTGTGTTTTTGGCTTTAGGTGCTTTAAATCCAATGTCCTGCATGAAGCACAAAACAAGCAAGTGAGAAGATGAAAGGAAACTACCTTCAAAAGTTTAAATATTGGTTTAATTAAAATTATTTTTCCAATTTAGTTAGTTAAATTAATTTTATTTATCAAATAAGTACCAGTTTAGGTAGTTAATTAACTGTATTTATCAATCAAATAGGTACATATATATATATATATATATATATATATATATATATATTAAGAGAAAGACATAAGTTTATCATATATCACCCACGCTGGAGTGCTAGCAAGATTTTATTTTTACCCAACAATTAATTTTAGTTTTTTTTTTAAATGTTAATTTTATTCTTATTATAAAATATAATTTTATATAATGATTTTAGTTTGAAAACAAATTGGTCGGTGCTATTTATATTTATATGATAGTAATATCTTAGTTAAGCAAGTTTACAACATCAAATTACACCTTTATATTTTAAATATTTCTTAATAAATATAAATAAGAAACATATAAGAAATTAACCTAAAAAACATATCACTACTATCTAGTAGTTTTGCAGTACATGATATTTGTAAATCTATTAATTAGTTCCATAACTTCCATTATAATACGGAGTCAATAATTTTTTTCAACATGTATTATACGTACTTTTGAGATTTTCAACCATTTTTATCTTTTACTGAAATGCAACTTGAACTACATATATACAATTATTTGCACGCTCGATTACTTTTTGACCTCTGATCATCCACAAACAAGGACACGTGTATGGTCAAGATGTGGTCCAACGTGCAAATAATAACTGTATGTGTAGTTCAGGTTGTAATTTACAAAAATAAAATAAATATACCTGAGGTTGAAAATCTCAACAACATATAGTACATATTGAAAAAAAATATTTACCCTAATATGTAATATAGAAAAAGAAATAAAGGAAAAGAGTGTTATGGGTAAAATTGGTATGTTATGGTTTACTTGTGTATATCCCGTGCGATGTACGGAGGAACTCATATTTTAAACCTTTTTAGACCTTATTTTACATATAATTGTTTATATTTTTCACATCTCATTCCATTATGAAAATAAAATAAATCAAACGATGAAAAATATATATTATTAAACACTTCTCTTTACACAATATTTTTTTATATAAGGAATATTATTAAACATTGCAGTTTTGAATATATTTTTTTAAAAAAATCAATTATCCAATCAATGATTGTTAATGTACAACAAATAATTGAAAGAATCCATATTTTAAAGTAAAGTTATTTTTTATTTTTATTTTTACTCATCAAAATCATCTAATTTTTTAAAGCACTTTCATATCCCAATTTCAATGTTACTTCATACTACTTTATTCAATGGTCAACCATTAGTTAAATTACTTATCAAATTAAAAGAGAAATCCAAATATTATCTTATTTATCTTTTAATCTTTCGTATTTGATATTTTTTATCAAACAATTAATAAAAAAACCTATTCCCATCATATATTTAATTATTATAAATTCAAATTCAATCTAATTAAAGTAACAATTTTAAAATGTTATAAAATCAAATTCAATCTAACTAAAGTAACAAATTAGACAACATTTACATAACATTTGAAATTGAGTTGAAAATCTCAACTTACGTCATCCAATCAGAAATCAATAATCGTATCGAAATTTTAAAGGTTTGAGGAAAAAAATAATTGTGCTTTTAAAAAGAATTTTATTTTAACATAGGGAAAAATATAAGGAAAAAATATACACGGGCGTTTATTAATGTTTCAAAAGTACCCGTATAGGAAATTAATATATGAAATCGTTCATTAATTTTTAACATAAAGAAAAAATAAATAATATATTTTCATTAATATATTTAAAAATATAATTTTGAATTTCAAATATAGTAAAAGGCGGGATAATTTAAATTTGTTTTTAAAAAGTTCCTAAAGCGTTTAATATTCTGGAAAATATACCTGTAAGAATAATCTTACCATTTTAATTTTAAAAAATTGACAAATTTATTAATGAGATAAATCTTAGACAAAAGATTAATTAGTTAAAATATTATATTAATTATATTTTAAAAAATTCAGTTAGATAAATGTAATTATATTAATTAGTTTGTAATGTGATTATATGAAATTTCAGATAAAATGAAATGTGCCTAGAAAAATCTGTTTGTGATCTTTTCGTTTAAATGTTTGAATTTAAAAATATAATAATCAAATTTTAAATTATATTATGTAAGGAATAAACAATAACCATTTATTAATATATTTAAAAATGTAACTTTAATTTCAAATAAAGTAAAAGGTGGGATAACTCAATTTTTTTTTTAAAAAAAGTTTCTAAAACGTTTTAATATTTTGGTAGGTATATCCGTAAAAATAATCATACCATTTTAATTTCAAAAAGTTTAGCAAGTTTGTTAAAGAGATACATCAGGTTAGATAAATGATTAATTAGTTAAAATATTATATTAATTGCAACTTAAAAAATTTGTTAGATAATTAATTGGTTTGTTAGGAATGTGATTATATGAAAGTTAAGATAAGATGAAATTTACCCGAAAAATCTGTTTGAGATTTTTTTCTTTAAATGTCTGAATTTAAAAATCTAAGAACCAATTTTAGATTATTTCACATAAGGACAAAACAAATAATAAATATTTATTAATATATTTAAAAATGTAATTTTGAATTTGATGTAAAGTAAACGACATGATAATTCAAAATTATTTTTAAAACGTTTATAAAATAATTAATATTTTGGTACTTATATCCATTAGAATAATTGTACTATTTTAATTTAAAAAATTGCGGCAAGTTTGTTAATGTGATAAATCTAGTTAGATAAATGATTAATTAAATAAAATATTATATTAATTATATCTTAACATATCCGATTAGATAACGTAGATAAAAAAATACTATATAAGATATAATATTTAATCAAATTACCACAAGATTTTTTTTTTCCTTTTTTTAATTAAATTTTATTTACATAAGATATACATAAAATCCAATTCAAAATTAAAATCAAAACTAAACTTTTCGATTTTGTTTTTGTTTTTGCTAGAAAGGAAACGTGTTTCCTTATTTTTTGGAAGCTAGAATATGTTGAATTCTTTTATCTGTAACTAACTATTTGCGTACATTTTCAAATTTTAAATCGAAACAAAGTTTTCGAATTTTTGAAAAAACAAAAGCAGCCGCCCATTTTTCAATTTTTCGAAAAAAGTTACCTTTAAAAAGATTAAGCGAGAATTACTTGCTAATTCAAGTAAATTCTTTTATATATATATACTAGTAATATTACCTATGTACAAAATGAGTGTTGAGTTAATAAATATATGTATAAAATTGTTTATGTTTAATATCAAACCTAACTCCAGAGCAAAAATAATATAAAAACAACATCACGAAGCATAGATTTTCGCCATGTCAGCATCTGAAACATGAAAATCTTCCACCTAAGCTCAACACGTTTTGAATTAATATATAGGGAGGGATATATAGTAATAGATAAGAAAAATAAAAGGAAAAAAATCTTTTTCACCCCAATACAAAGACACGTTAAGTTTTTCACACCGCCCAATAAAAAGCAAAATTTTTCACCCCGGAAAGTGCGAAAGTTATGCGAAAACTATCGCATATTCATCGCTAACTATCACATATGCAAAAAACTGTCGCATATCAATTGTATAACTTTCAATATTCATCACACAATGTCTTCGCACTTTAACTTTTTTTCACCCCAGAAGGTGCGAAGGGATATGCGGATGTCTTCACACTTTTAACTTTAGAACAATGTCATCACGCACTTGTCGCATGTTCATCGCACAATGTCTTTCGCACTTTCTGGGGTGAAAAACTTATTTTTTATTTGACGGTGTTGAAAAACTAAACAAGATTTCAAAACGGGGTGAAAATAACTATCTATTAATATATAAAGAGGGAATGATATTTATTTGAAAAAAAATGAAAAAAATCAGCAAAAAAAGATGTCAATTCCCGCCCAAAGTGAATAAAATGAGAAAGATTTTTGGCTAAAAATTAAAATTCGAGCGCCATCCAACCAATTTTGAAAAATTTGAAAAAAATAAATAAATTAAAAAATCTAAATAAAAAGATTACATGAAGATTTTTTGGAGATTCCATATTATCTAATTTTCATACATTAGGAATGAAACACTTGTCCTATTTTCATTAGTCCACTATAAATTTTATATGATAAGATAAGTATAACTCAAATTATTGATATTATTTTATTTTAAAAATAAAATAAAAATACCAAAATTAGTATTTTTTTCATACTCTATAAATAGAGACCACTCTTGATATGTTTTGGAACACAATTGAAATTATTATGTTGGGTTAGGTTGTAGATAAAACAATACCAAACAATGTATTGTAGATAATATTTATTTAATAAATAAATAAAAATAAAATAAATATTATACTATCTTTATTAGGTCACCAACTAAAAATAATAAAAAAATAGCAAAATCCGCGGCTCAGGTCAAATTATGACCCTAGATCGCAACCTAGCCACAAGGAGAGAGGGAGAAATAAGGTGAGTGAAATGGGGCAAATGTTCAATTCTTATTTGTCTATAAAATTTTTCTATAATAAGATAATTGTAACTAAAATTTTTTATATTCATTTATATGAAAAAAATAAATAAAACTTTATTTTTCATTCTCTATAATAGAGACCACTCTTAATATATTTTGGAACATAATTGCAATTTCTATCCTTTCACTCTTTTTTCTTAACAGTAACTTCTCAATTTTATCATATCTTTTATTTTATCATATCATAACTAAAACAATAACAAAAAAAAATATTGTAGATAATATTTAATAAATATATAAATAAACATAAAATAGACATTATGTTGGATTGAGTTAGGTTGTGTTTGGGATAAAGGACTATTCTACTATGCCTTTTCCAAGTATGAGTAGTATTAATTCAAGTGCGAACCGTCTGGTTTTGGATGAACTCAACTATGACCGTAAGGCTCTAGCTATTGAGC